TGTGCCCTCTCTGGAGGCTGCGCCCTCACTGAACAGGGCAGAGCTGGGGTGGGGCTCACCATAGATCTGTCTCAGGGGTACAGAGTTGATGAGGTCGATGAAAGGTTTCTTCTTCTCCACCTGAGTCTTCTGGTACCACCACTGCAAGTACCTGAGGAGCAGGAGGCAGTGTGATGGAAGGGGTTGTGGGCAAGTGCCTTCCCGGCTGCAGTCGCCTACCTCTTTCTGGACACCCAGCTGTGATTTCCCATCACATGTTCCAGGGATCCCACCTTTGCTTCCAAACCTCCTCCTCTCAACTTCTCTACAGATCAAGGTCCCCTCATCTTCCCAGTCCCCAGCTTACAGTGTGGGACTGTCTTTGTTTCTTTTCTCTGTTCTCCTCAGGAGCTTTCTGATCTTTCCTCACCTCTAACTCCATTGCCACTGCTTTACTCACCCCAGCAGCTTTTGTCCGAGGTGTTGAAAGGGCCAGTTATGATTTCTAAGCTGTAAGTTTTGTGATTTTGCTCTCTTGTAATATCCCAGTAAAGTCTTAAAAAACAACAACATTTCCCTGGGCTTGTCACAGCTCTGTGTCCCACAGGCAAATGATTCTGTTTGGGATTCAATGACATCTGTCCTAGACCATCTTCTAATCTTACTTTCTTGCAACCCTGCCCTCTCCCAGTTCTACTCCCTACCCAGCCATTTTATATTCACTATTCAAGCACAACACTTATAACCATGAACTTGTGTAAGTAACCCTTCTGAGCCTCAGTTTCCTCATCTACAAAATGAGGATACCTCCTGCCCTACCAAACTACCCACCTCATGGAATGAGCAAATGACATAATAGGTAGGAAAGCCATAAAGTGGAATACCTGTGTCAGGTATGATCATTACTTGTGCATACACTATCTCAGTTCCCAATCAGATGCTGTCTTGTTATTTCAGTGTTCCTCACGTGAGTCTGACATACTTTTAAGTTCCTTGGGGAAAGGGACAGTGACAACGACTAGATGATTATTACCCATTGCTTCAAGCACAGGGCAGGGCACATGGTCTGCAGTCAATATTTGCTGAATTTACATATGATTGTACAAACAGTGGGGCATAAGAGAGATGAACATAGACAGGAGCAAGGGGAGGAGAAATGTGCATAACGAATAGGGAAGTTACATTCTGGGGGTAGAGGGAAAGGGAGGGAAGACAAAGATGAGATGATGGGAAGGCAGACGATCCTTCCTGCCAACTTAGAGGAAACTGGACTCTGAAACTAGAGGCCAGAAAGGACTGGTGAAGGGAAAGAGAGTGCAGTGGGCAAAGGGCAATGAGGACGAAATGCAAGATATGAGGAGAGGCAGAACAAAGGAGTATCTGGTATAGAACTGGCACTTAAACATTTATTGAATGAATGGACGCTGTCTGGGAGAGCAATCAAAATTGAGTTCTTACCACACTGAGGCCAAGAGAACTCTGTCTTTTTGGAGCTCCTGATTCGAGGACCCTCAGTTCAGCTTTCTCTTAGGTTTCTCCCATTCCCCGAATTTAGCAGCTGACCATTCTTGACCTATTTGGCCTTTCCATAATTTCAGCCCCAACTTAAGAATTATCATTCAGAATTCTTCCGTCTCACCCCTGTTTCTCCCCAGAGCAGGACCTCATCCCACTCCAAAAGCCCTGTGTCAGTTGCCTGCACCCTATGCTGATATGGGAAGCCAAGGTCCAGGGGCCTGAGCATAGCTTCAGGCCTCTGATTCAGCTCATACACAGGGACAGAGGGGTAGGATACCCACCTGCTCTTTTTTTTAATCCTTGCCTGAGGATATGTTTTTATTGATTTTAAAGAAAGGGGAAAGGAGAGATAAAGAGATAGAAACATCGATGAGAAACATCTTTAAAGAGAGAGGAAGAGAAAGAGAGACTGGGAGAAACATCAATGTGAGAGAGAAACGTTGATTGGTTGCCTCCCGTATGCACCCCAACTAAGTATGTGCCCTGACCGGGAATTGAACCTGCAACCTTTTGGTGTATAGCAGGGGTCCTCAAACTACGGCCCGTGGGCCACATGCAAATACAAATTTTGTACTTGTTCCCGTTTTGTTTTTTTACTTCAAAATAAGATATGTGCAGTGTGCATAGGAATTTGTTCATAGTTTTTTTTTAAACTATAGTCCGGCCCTCCAATGGTCTGAGGGACAGTGAACTGGCCCCCTGTTTAAAAAGTTTGAGGACCCCTGGTGTATAGGATAATGCTCCAAGCAACTGAGCCACCATCTGTTCTTGACCTCAATGTCCCCACCACATGCACCCCAAAGTGCTTCTCTTAGCACCTTAGCTCTACATTCTATTTTGACCCAAAGGTTGGGCTAGGGATGACTGTTCTCTACTGGCCACCCACAGTTACTAGCAAAGGAGAGGCATTCCTAGGTGGCACCAGGCCCTTCCCACTACCCAGGTCTGGGGTTAGGTAAACGGACTCCCCACCCCAGCCCCAGAGCACTGAATGGGAAAGGAAAGGATCCATTTATTTATTTTTAAAAATCCTCACTCGAGGATATATTTTTTCATTGACTCTAGAGAAAGAGGAAGGGATGGGGGAGGGATGGAGGGAAGGAGGGAGAGAGGGAGAGGGGGAAAAACACATCGATGTGAGAGAAACATCCATCGGTTGCCTCACGCACGGGCCCTGACTGGGAATTCAACCCTGGACCTTTCGGTGAACGGGACGTCCCTCTAACCATTGAGCAAACCAGCCAGGGTAGGGAAGCACCCTTTGGCTGTCAGGGCTGGGTTTCACAGCCTTCAAGCCTCCCTCCGTGGCTCTGTGTTTACTGTGTAGAATGACTCAGGATGGCCTCAGGGGGATGCTTTTTGTCCTCACATCCACCTGTTCCTGTTAATGGGTCTTGGTCTCCCGTCTCTAGTTTTTTAATTCAGTGGGGATATGGAGGGACCTAGAGGAGTTCTACAGCCAGAGTAAGCTCTTCGGGTGTCTGCAATCCTTGGGTAGGGAGTGCGGGGGCAAGGGAGACACCGGGCAGGCTCTGGAAGGCTATTCCTAAGAGCTCTGGGGACACCTATGGCAGTGCCTCTCTGATCAGAGGGCCAGTCTATCTCAGAGTAGAGTGAGCAGCACCCCTCCTCACCCTCTCAGGATTGAGAGAGCTGGCAGCCTTGGAACTAAAGCGTGATGGGTGCTGGACTGTAACGTGGTGTGCCTCAATGAGGTACTGAGAATACTCCAGCTGCTCAGGGGATTCTGAGACCCACCCCCGCCCCAATAAAACAACATTGTGTCAGTACCTCAGCAGCCACACTATCCTTTCCTATCCTACAACACAGAGCTAACTCCAAAGACCAATCTTTGGAAAAGAGGGCGTATGTGAGAGGGAGCTTAATGGGAAAGGCTGGCTGCAGGCCTAGATGTTTCTGCTCTTTCCTACTAAAAAGGCAAGTTACTGGGAGTAAAGGGTTGCAACAAGATGTGACCTGGTCTTACTCTTCAAAATCAAGGCTTAGAATCTGTTGGGGATAAAAGCCACTTGATTGGGTCAAGGCACATCCCTGCTTTCTCACCCCTTCCCACTTCTGCTGGAAGTCTCGGGCTGGAACCAAGTGAAGCCTCGGGACTCTAGGCAGTGGGATCTACTCACCTCAAGCCCATGCCCAGGTGCTTTATCAGGTTGCTGAGGGAGATGTCATTGGCATTAAAGGGTTTCCTCTTCTCGGCAAACTCATGAGCCAAGCAGATGCGCCAGCCAAAGGAAGGCACCTGGTAGCCCTTGGCTCTGCCCTCGTAGGAGGCCATCAGCTGCCCAGGGTCCTCCGGATTGCTGCAGCCCCGCTCATCTCGGGATCGGCTGTCCTCAGGGCTCTCGCCGTCGGTGACCTGCACAGCCTCAGAGTCTCCAGTGTCTTTAGCGCAGTAAACCTGTGGGTCCCCTTTGGCACAGCTGGTCTGCTCCGAGGCGGGGACTCCGGTCCCCATGCTCCCTGGATCCTGGGTCCCCACGACCTCGATGGCCCCAGGTCCCGCGCCTTCTGATACAAAGTATCTCGCCAGCCAAGTGCAGAGGCGGGTGCCGACTGTTGTTAGGTGCCGTCCTGGCGGGCCGGCCGCTGGGGGAAGCTGCGGTGAGCAGGTGTCTCCGTGTAACCCCGGAGCTGAGGCTGCAGCTGCGGCGGAGGCGACAGCAGTGAAGCCGCCTCGAGCTCCCCGTCGTCGTCTCTCCGGGGCCTGGGCGGGA